TGTCGAAACGTTGTACATTTGCTGTTACGTTAAACTTATATTAAAGTTTTTCTTCATTACCCATTTAAGCCGTCTCCAACCATTATCAGTCTCAAAGTGGGTTCCTCGTCATCGAATTCGAGATTGAATAAGTATTTGTTATTATATGTATATTACATGGACACATGCTCAGCGCGAGATGGTGTTATGAATTTAATAAAAGAAGCCAGTCAGTTGAATCTCTTAAAATTACTGACCCACAGAGAAAGTATAAATATTCATTTCATGTCGAATTTTGAAAAATTCCTTTCACAAACAGAAACTGAAGAAGAAAATTCTGCTTTCTACAAACCGGAAACACCTGTAAGTTCGAGTTTCCTTGCCTGAAGGGCCGGTTATATGCTTCTCTCGTGTAGGTGTTATGATATTTGTATGTAGGAGTTATATATGGCTTTAGTATTCTTATGAAATGTCAAGAGGATGCAGTCTTTGTTTACTTAGGAAATGATAACCACCTACTATGTACCGTGATTTATCAATAGAAGAATCGAATTAAGCTTCTGTTATGATGTTCATTCCCTTAATGTACTAAACCTAAAAAGTACAACATTTTCTAGTTCTGTAAGATACACATGGATCTCACTACTATAAACGTAAACATGTATTCTTATAATCAGGCGTGTAAAAATAGACTACGCTGTGTCAACACTAGCCTTAATAGCGAATTTTCATTGTTATTCTTATAATCGTCTTCACACTAATCTCTATCAGTGTTTCACTTTTTATATGTTGGATTTTCAGTTCAGACCTTCATACTGTGTGAAACTCCTTTATTTTCCGTTAATTATTTTGTTTTCTCTTGAACAACTAAAGCCGGAAGTGGTATAATATAAAAAAATATCGCAACGAAAACTAAACTCAAACGTGAACCTTTTTTTTTCTCTCTTTAACCAACTAGATATTTAAAATAAAATCAAGCTGCATTTCAAATATTTTTTCGTTGTTACATTTCAAAAACACCCGTTTTAATTAATGAAAAAAAATCTTATAAATCTGATGAACGTTTAAAAACATCACAGTACACTGTGCTTGCACTTCAATTTGGAAATGTATTTATTATTTGTAAACTATAGATAAACTTTACATTCTAACTCGTACTTGAACTTTTGCTAAACCACCTGACAGGTCTAAACGATTATTGGTCATTCTTGTGACTACATGTAATCCTACCTTTATTATGTCGTGTGTTAAAGAGTATCGAAACATCCAGTCCAAAGCTATCTGGTCGTTCTCCAGTATATCCTGCAAAAATAAGACTAAGTGAAACCGTTATCTTTCGTATATCAACTAAGGTTAAAGCAATAAAATCCGATTAAAATAAAGTAACAGACGATTACAGATAGCACAACCAATGCGTGCTATTAGAACATGGGAAGTTTTTACTACAGGTTGATGTATTAAGAGTTTTTAAGCAACGTGAGATTATCTGTAAAGGGTAGAAAATCTAATTCTGGAGTAGTATAAATTAGGATGTTATGGTATGGCTATCTTATTTTGGGTTCATAAAATGGATTGTTATGGAAACATGAGATAAACAAAAGGTTTTTACGTTTAATATGTCTTGCCAGACTTTACTAACACTTCGTTAAGAAAAGCATTAGTAAAACACACGTTGAGTTTCAGTATTTTTATTCCAGTTCCAGTGATCATAATGGGACGTAGGCTAATAATACGATATCGAGGAGAAGGTACCATTGAAGTATTACGTTCAAAGTATTGAATTTCGAATAACTCACGAAAATTAATTTCTCAATTTGTTCAACGACGTAAGTTATTTTACAAAGTATGTATTTAATGTTGCTTATCAAAGACAAAAACCGTTAGTTGGTAAGTGGCTTGCAGTCAAATAAAGCAGATGCTCACTCATCTATGAAAACCTACACAGAAATAAGCCGATGAAAACAAAAACTGTTACTGTACATTATGCTAATATAATAATAGGTAGGTAAACAACGATTCAGACATTTGCTTTAACATATCACTAGTTTGAATCAGGTCACAAAATACCATGGGATGGAATTCTTCTTCTACACCAACCTAAAACTACAAAAAGAAAGAGATTGTTTAGAAACTATAGAAATCATAAAATCAAACTATCTTTCACTAAACAGAGATAATGGACCTAGCAACACCAGCCGTATTAGGCAAGGTCTAGCTGACACCATTTCCGTCACATTTAATCCTTGTGTTTATTTGTTTGTTTTGAATTTCGCACAAAGCTACACGAGGGCTATCTGCGCTAGCCGTCCCTAATTTAGCAGTGTAAGACTAGAGGGAAGGCAGCTAGTCATCATCACCCACCGCCAACTCTTGGGCTACTCTTTCACTAACGAATAGTGGGATTGACCGTCACTTTATAACGCCCTCACGGCTGGAAGGGCGAGCATGTTTGGTGGGACGGGGATGCGAACCTGCGACCCGCAGATTGAGTGTCGAGCGTCCTAACCACCTGGCCATGCCGGGCGTAATCCTTGAGTCTTTTGTCTTTGTAACTATATATAAATCCTGTATTGCTAGTACATATCACAACTTACATGAAGAAGACAGACCAATCTTCTGTTGAAACATGTAGTATGTTCCACCATCAGTAAAACTCTTCATTACACTTATAAATCGTTGTTTGCCTGCCTATTAACAAAAATTGTTCTCATGAGCATAAATTGTCCTTTTATAATTGAATATTTATGCTTAGACGTATTAAAGTTGTCTTATTTTTGTCATGCATATTTTGAGTAGATTAAATTTAAAAACAATAAGAATCTATTAATTAATTTTTATATAAGGTGAACTATTAAAGAAACAAGAGGGAAGTTTCAATAGCCGCGGTACTTGAAATTATTTTAGGCAGGATTAGAGTAAATTAATCTGTGTGACCTTGGGAGTGGTGAAGTACAGCAATCAAAAGGGTTTGGTCTCGTAAGTCCAAAACTCAGATCGGTCAAGAGATGACGGAGCTATGAGCTAAAAGTTTGTACTTGAAATAAACAAACAAATAAAAAAAACTCAGAGCCGTTCTACGAGTCTCTATTGTTATTTAGAGTAAGGTGAAAAATAAAATGCCTCTGATGAAAAAATAGGGTAAAAGTTTGTACAAAAAACTTCTCATTGGTCAATTTAAGAAATCCTGTCTTAGGAAACAAAACAGAAGTACCATTTCTATCAAATTTGGATTGATTTTTATAATATTGCATGCAGAGAATATTATCTTACGAATACTGTAACATCAGCGAATAAACCTTTATCTATGTAAAACCAAGAATTTGAAGGTCCTCAAACAAAAGGAATGACGTCATAGCTGACATGGGCTAAATGTATGCTACTTAAGTTAATATGCATTATTATATATGTTTTCACGTTAATCAAACTTGTTTGTTTGTTGTAATTAAGCACAAAGCTACACAATGGGCTATCTGTGCTCTGCCCACCACGGGTTTCGAAACCCGGATTCTAGCGTTGTAAGTCCGCAGATATATCGCTGTGCCACTGGAGGGGGGGCTAATCAAACTTAAGTATAGAAGAAGATAAAGAAAAAATTAGCAAAGGTAGCTGGCAATGCTGGGTTTAAAAAAATAGTACTATAAATGTGGGCGTGAGCTACCCTCTGCCACTTACTTTAAGCCGTACCACGTGAACCATTCGTCTAATGCAAAGGTGTCCGTGCTACGCATGGTATTAAATTTTGCTTTCGTTTGACGTCTGCTTCTCAAACTCTAACCGTTCGCCGGACTGCTTATCCACTTAAACCCGACCTTTGGGAGACATGCACGTGAGTTTCTCGACCAAATTCACAACAATCTGTGATACTAGATAGATAGACACGAGGGAAACTGTGCTTCCTATATATACGTGTATATAATATACATTTCCATTTACAATGCTACATCATTATGTCCGAAAATAATAGTTTCATTTAAAATTTTAATTTATGTTTTAATTCTTAAAAATGGCCCGGCATAGCCAGGTGGTTAGGGTGCTCGACTCTCAGTCTGTAGGTCGCGGGTTCTGATCCCCGTCACCCCAAACATGCTCGCCCTCTCAGCCGTGGGAGCGTTATAATGTGACGGTCAATCCCACTATTCGTTGGTAAAAGAGTAGCCCAAGAGTTGGCGGTGGGTGGTAATGACTAGCTGCCTTCCATCTAGTCTTGCACTGCTAAATTAGGGACGGCTAGCGCAGATATCCTTCGTGTAGCTTTGTGCGAAATTCAAAAACAAACAAACAAACAATTCGTAAAAATTAATTAATTGTGGCCAAATAAAACTATTTGGCAACCAGTTTTACAAAGAAAAAGAAAATATTCGTTATAAGGGACACATACTTAGATCTTTCTCATAGAAGAAAGAAAAACTTCTCTATAATTGTATTCTTCTGGTAGCAAGTACCACGGTTGCTATCTTTTTTTTTAGTGTACTGAACGCTTCTACTGCTATCAAGAGTTAACTGATTAGACTAATAAGGCTTCTGATGCGACAACGATTAAAACGAGCCATCGGAAAGAAGGAGAAACAAGCTTTAAAATGTTTCTGTGAGGACGCGACAAGACAGGGCTAGGTTTTAGTAATAAGAGAAACCTAATTGTGTACATAGCTGTTTCTAGAAAAGTTCTATAAGTTAAGATTTGAGTGAAAGGCAATTAAAATAAAGGGAATGGGTGTTTTTTACTGATACCAATTTAGAGTAAATTATAGTTCTTTGTTCGTTCGTTGTTGAACACAATGGGTTATATCTGGGGTGTTTACCACGAATATCGAAACCCGATTTTTAAAGTGCGAGTAAATTTTATTTATTCACACAGTTAATATTTAATGACAAGTTATATTTTAAGAAAATAAAGTGTAATCATTTTTGTACGTGGTTAATGGAGCTAAAAACATTTGTATAGAACTTTCTGTAAACTTATCTCGTCAGTGTGGACTCGGTAAAGAGTGAACAGGTGTAATAAAAACTACTAGAACCAACAACGGTAAGTGACATCTTAACGCACTGTGAATAGCATTCTGTTACACGTAAAATGCAGTTACGTTTAATCACCTCGTCATAAAACAGTCGAACGTTCTAATACTTCTCGAACATTCTGGTAATAAGGCCGTAAGTTTGCTCTCTTTTCGAGGTCATAATGGTAAATTAGAATTCCAGGCATTTTTAGTAATAATTTGTATGAAAGTGTTAAGACACATTAAGTTTGTTAATACCAAGGTTAATATGAGGTTAATGTTTCAGCGGATTAAGGAAAGAAACTACTCTACCTAGATCTGAGAATTTTATTCAGCGTTTCTTTTTTTTCAAACACAACACAATATGAACTTTTATTTTATATTAATACAGGTATCAACATCCCAGTGGCTCAGAGGTAAGTCTGAAGACTTAAAACACTAACAAAATCGGGTTTCGATACCCGTAGTTAGTACATCATAAATAACCCACTGTGCAGCTTTGTGCTTAACTACAGACAAACAAAGAAACAAAACCTCAGTGTATCTGAAATTCCATTATCTAGTTTATTGAACCATTAAAGGTAGAAGATAAAAATGAAGCCCCTGAATCCACCTGGTTATTTGTAATTATTCTTGTAATTTCTTGACGTTCATTCCATCTCCTCCCCACCAGCACATATAATCCATTACCATATCATCTACACCATCCGAAAGTGCTGATATCTGGCTTATTATATAAACCTTGGCAGGTTGTAGATGTATTAACCATTACCATATCATCTACACCATCCGAAAGTACTGATGCCTGGCTTATTATATAAACCTTGGCAGGTTGTAGATGTATTAACCATTACCATATCATTTATACCAACCGAAAGTACTGATGCCTGGCTTATTATATACATCTTGGCAGGTTGTAGATGTACTAACCATTACCATATCATCTACGCCATCCAAAAGTGCTGATATCTGGCTTATTGTTTTCCAGAATCTCGTCACAATAAACAGAAGAAATTTAGAAGGTGTATTTGTTAAAGAAACTGCAAACACGTTTGTTTTTCAAAATATTTATTCAAATTTAGCCCCCAAAATACTATTCTTTTTATATATTTTAACCTGAATGACAACTTAAGCCTTGGTTTCATGTATCGTTTTCCCGTACGATTCGACAAAGCTTTAAATTGTTTTCAAAGGTTGTTAAAAGAGATCAGAGAAACGACTCCGGAAACGATTCAATTTCAAAAGTCGTCCTATTTTGAACCATTTCTCTAATGAGTCTTCTATGTTTCAACCAACGAACGGATGCCATTCCTCTGACATGTAGGCATTCTCAGAGAAAATGGAATTTTTACATTAGTTTCAAAATGGTGAGCACGAGCAATGGAAAGCTTTCACAGAATGAAATTGATGTAGGCGCGTTCATTGAAAGCTATCGACAGCAGGAGGACCTTCGGAACATGTGATGCGGCTTACAGCGATAAGAATAGAAGAAAACTGACCATGAGAAATTGGCTGACGAGTTCAACACAACAAACAAGTTATATATATGTGGAGCTAACCAGGCCTAGGCCTGCTTTAAAAGCTAGTATTTAGTCAATCATAGATTCCTGTTTGGTGTTCGGAAATAAAACTTAATCTACCAATATTGCATGTCCAAGTGTAATAATTGGTGATGACAGAGACGCCTTCAAACTGAAATTGTCTTTGGTCAGTTAAGTTTGGTGAACTGGCTTTCTGAAACAAGCCTATAATTGTTTGTATTCACGTCTAAGCCTATTGCACAGATGTTGTTTTCCTTATCACCAATCCTTTATACCAAAGATATAAGTTCAAAAATCAATTTATTAATGTTTCAGATACTTTAATACTTAATCCAGGATTTGTTTTTCAATGATTCATGACCTCATCCAACATGACCTCTGACATTTGCTAGTGCGTTCCTCTTCTTTCAGAAAGTTACAAATAAGTACAGCCGCTACGAGTTTACGTTTCCATCATTTAAAAATAGCATGGTCAGGTGGCTAGGGCGCTCGACTCGCAGTCTGGTGGTCGCGGGTTTAAGTCCTCGTCCCACCAAACATGCTCGCTCTTTTAACCGTAGGTGCGTTATAAAGTGACAGTCAATCCCATTATTCGTTAGTAAAAAAAAGTAGCCCAAGAATTGGCGGTGGGTGGTGATGACTAGCTGCTTTCCCTCTAGTCTTTCACTGCTAAATTAGGGACAGCTAGCGCAGATAGCACTCGTGTAGCTTTTCGCAAATTCAAAACAAACATTTAAGTATGTTTTGTTTATCCTCCATAATTGTTTCCGCCATTTTGTTTAATCCCTAAAATTGGTGCGAAAATGTGAAAATAATCGATAAGTGAGACGTCAAAATCGTATTGAAAATAATCGTTTGCTGAGGGCAAAGTCGCATTGAAAATTCAGATGACATGAAAACTTGACATGCGAGATCTGCGCTTTATGCCTACTCGGGCTCAACGACTGGGTCAAAGATCCCTGCATCTAGGTATAGCCGTCCATAATATTGAACTACTGACCACATGGTGACAGCTAGCCAGCAACATCGATTGTCACAAGAGTTTTGTCTGGCTCTTCGGATTGAATAATTGGTTTGACTGTTACTTTTACCTGAAGTTTAGCGACATTACGTCTCGATCCTCAGACTATTTTGATACATACCCCGATACCTTAACACCGTTAAGCAATAGCCGTCCCACCAAAAATATAAATTTTAGAAATAAAATTTAGTCAAATCAAACTTTTCGGATTTTTCTAATATCAAAACGTTTGTTCTATAATTTTTTGTTTTTTCAAAAGCTTTCACATTTAGCGAGTAGAAACAACAGCAGGTACATAACACATTTAACGAGTAGGAACAACAGCAGGTACGTAATACATTTAGCTAGTAGGAACAACAGCAGGTACGTAATACATTTAGCTAGTAGGAACAACAGCAGGTACGTAATACATTTAGCTAGTAGGAACAACAGCAGGTACATAACACATTTAGCGAGAAGGAACAACAGCAGGTACATCACACATTTAACGAGTAGGAACAACAGCAGGTACATAACACATTTAACGAGTAGAAACAACAGCAGGTACATAACACATTTAACGAGTAGGAACAACAGCAGGTACATAATTTTCAACGTTATCTTGGTGATTCGATTTAACTCGTATATAAATTTGTTGTAATGTTATGGAATGTTATGTTCTGCTAAAAAAGTTCCAACGGTGCCAAATATTTTCATTGCTACTGTACCTCAGGTTTTTATTAACTGTAGTTAACAACTAGTGTTTGTGGGTTGTGTAAGTGAAGCATACTCTATTCTTTAGCTGTAGTTACTTTCATTAATAGTATTGGCTAGAATGTTCAATAAGTCTAGTTTTTTTTTTTTACATAAAATATTTTTATTATTATACTTTTATTATAGAGACTATTTTACGTTGTTAACTTAGTATATGGACTTACCATTAACCGAAATACTATTATTGGGTTTACGGCCGAAAACATCGTTAACTGCAAGAGTAACTAACCGATCAAATAATACATTCTAATGTTTATAAGTAAAAAAAAAAGTATATTTAGTAAGATATAATTATTACCGGGTTGATTTTTTATTTTTATCTAAGTAGGTAGCTAACTCTGATCGGAAGTTAATAGCAAAGATTAATTGACTAATTATTTATGTTTGTAAATGTGTCAGTTGTTTAGATCTGTACAAAAATAACCACCGCTGAATCAAGTGTACAATGATTTAGATTTTGAAATCGAAAATGTATAAAGCAAAGTAAAAAAGAATTTTGTATCTTTCGTAACATATCGACATAACGTGTGTCATCAATTGCACATTATAAACTGTTGTATATTAAATTTAGTCAGAACAATAAACATATCAGTACTTAGTGTCGAGAAAGTAGCAAAAGTGGGAAAAAAACGATTACTATACATTTTTTTTTTACCAGGCGTGGCCTAGTTAGCTTACACGGATTACCCGAGGATTTCTACTTCCCAATGTAGCAAAAACGCTTGTCACTTTTTGACGCCGTGCATGCGCCATACAAGACTTAATAAGGCTAAATCTGCTTTATCGATCAGAAAAGAGTTGGCGGTAGGTGTTGTTCACTAGCTGCCTTACCTCTAATCTATCAGTTCAAAATTAAGATTGGCTATGCGCAGATAGCTTTGCACGAAATTCTGAAACAATAATACTATGCGGTTTCCATAGTTATAGTTGATGAACATCAACTGTCAAGTGTATTAGTTATATTAGTTGTGAAATGTGAGATCAAAATGGAGTAAATGAAATATTAAAGGACAAAACTAGAATAATTTAGCTCAAACTAAAATGTTATTAAAACATTGATTAAAGCATGTAAAATATCCTTTCTGTTTGATAAAAAGAAACAATTATAAACTGGATTATAAACAAAGGTATTTACGAGAAACTTTCAGCAAATATAATTAACGAATATTTAGTATATTATTTTACATATAATTATTTTTATTTTTGACTAAGTTTTTTTACACTTCTTATTCAAAACCAAATCTTTTGTCAAACGGAGGAGAAGTAGTTATTGTAATTACATGGTTTCGTGTCATATTATCTTTTTATTTACAAAAAATAAATATAAAAACAGGTTCAAAATTGCCAAGACCAGAATTATGTCTTGAAGCTACATGATCTACTTTGAGTTAAAAATGAATGAAAAAATAAAAAAGTTATTATATTTTTTTAAACACATGATCTACCATAAAAATATTTCAAAATCCAAGTTCTCCCAGTTTTATTTATAAGTGGAGTAGATAAATTCACGTAGATTTGAAAGTTTCTTTACACTCATAACAAAAGCATTAATTAATTAATCAATGTTACACTCATAACAAAAGCATTAATTAATTAATCAATGTTACACTAATAACAAAAGCATTAATTAATTAATCAATGTTTCACTCATAACAAAAGCATTAATTAATTAATCAATGTTTCACTCATAACAAAAGCATTAATTAATTAATCAATGTTACACTAATAACAAAAGCATTAATTAATTAATCAATGTTACACTAATAACAAAAGCATTAATTAATTAATCAATGTTAAACTCATAACAAAAGCATTACTTATTTTTCCTTACCAGTAAACTTCCCTTTGGACAGTACTCAGTTATCAAGAAGGGAATAGGAGAATCAACGCATGCGCCGATAAATCTTGCAATATGATGATGCTGCAAGCTTTTCATCTGAAAATAAAATATATGGAAGCCAAAATATCATATTATTGTAACTCTAGAAAACAAAGTAATAGAAGTTTAGAAGATTTTGTTCCAAATTAAGTTAAATTAAAGATTCATTGATTGAAAAATATTGCGACTATTTTTGACCATGTAAATAGACAAAAAATATATATTTTGAATACAAATGAAATCACTGTGAATATATATTTATCTTGTTATCCTACGCATATATATTGATGTAGTACATTATCGTAATCCACTTTACTTTGTACGTGCTTACTCGCGTTTTTTTTTTTTTTCACGTGATCTGACGTAAACAGTTTCGACATTTGAACTGTGTATTAGTTCCGGTCTGTGTGTTTTCTGACGATGAGTAACTAAGAGAAACATTGTTACATTTTAATGGTCGGAGATGGCTTGAATGGATAATGAAGAAAAACTTTAATATAAGTTTAACAAAACAGCAAATGTTCAACGTTTCGACAAGGTTTTGTCATCACCAGGTACAAGTAATTTACACTGACACGGATATAGATATACAGTATTGAACAAAGAAGTCACATGACCGGAACTGTTGAAAAACTTAGAAGAGGTATCTAGGCACCCCGGGGTGTTGGTTTAGAGTAGGGTTGTTTTGTTCGATTAAGATGGATTCCTTGATTTTTCGTTTGTTTATGTTGAGTTCTTTGTTTAAAAGGGCTGTGTTTTTAATAGATATACTACGTTTTTTTTGAGTTTCCAATTTTCTTCCTGTTTCTCCAATGTAGAATTCTGGGCATTCCTAAACCTATGGCATTCCTAAACCACACAAACAAGACTGCCCCTACGATCTATACTGTCCACTTATGATTCATTCAACTACAATCTCGGCAAATACATAGCCTGGACT